TTACTATTAAGGTTCAGCACAATATATATAATTTTCAAATATAAGCGCTAACTAATACAGATAAAATTATTTATTATTTATCGGAAATCTCATGATCATTTGTTCCATAATTTTTTGTACTGATACTTACTAGTACATAGTGTAGTCCTTAGGTATATTTGGGATATTTTCATTAGTGTATATTGCTTCACTAAAATTTTAACGAGTGCTATACAGAAAACAACATTTGCTAGTATCTCCACAATTAAAGCCATGGTAAACACGTTTACTGATGAAATCAATATCTATATTGGGATATTTCTGAGAAATTTTTTTGAGATTTCATCTTTCTGAACAATTAGATTATGAATAAATTTTGTTTCACGACAGCAGGGAAAAACCATAACGTCTAAAATATGCATATCGAGTCGGATTTTAGTTTGTTACTTCATCTTATTAAGTAATAATGGGAAATTGGTTTGTTTCATAATTAAAAGCGATTTACTAAGAGATATACAAAAAAAGTTACTAACAGTATATTAAACGGGAATGGAAAATGGTACAGAATATCTGATAGTATCAGATATTAGCTCTAAACCAAACGTCAGATACTCACCTCGTTTTAACAAATAAGTGAAATGTGTTTTTGTATAATTTACTGTAAATAATATTAAGCTCACCTTCAAAAGATGTAAAACGATTACACAAAACCTCAATAAAAAAACCTAACAGTGAATACTTACAGAGAAATATACTATCTAGCCCCATTTCCTTGCTTTTGGATTAAATTCTCGAAAAAACGATTAAAACCGCGTTACATTATGCAACAAATAGCAAAAGTAGCTTTGAGAAAAAGTCAACATTCAAAACATTGAGGCTAAAATATATAGTTACTAAAAATCAATGAAATTATTACGATATCAAATTTAAAAGAACAGAAACGAAAGCGTTTGCTGAATATCAAATGAACAAAACGATAAAAGGATATACATGAAATGTCAATAATAATTGTTCACAAGTATTAGGCAAATAAGTTACTGTTTAAATTTGATTACGGTTAGAAATTTTGTTATAAACTATACATATCTACATTGTAAACGGTACACAACTTCTTTTTCAAAAAAAAGTAACTCCAAATGTTTAGATATGAACCAATCAGTTGGCTGTTTTTGCCTAGTTTGGTTATTAATTTCTATTTGAAATCTAAAGTACACACACGTTTTCATTCAGGCTGAAATACGTCACTCTAAGTAGAAACGCAAATGAATCTGTCATTTCAAACTATTCAAAACATTAATTGAATAAATGACTATTCTTCAATAAAGAAGCAGATAAGAATTCACACATCACATTATTAAGCCATTCAATTATATGTAGCAATAATTCCCCTACCAACAGATGAAAATGTTTTATTTATAAAAAACTTCACATTAGAACAAAAATTACAACCTTCATTGCTAACACAATAGTTCTAAACTACTGAGATAAAAGATAATAGTCATGACTCTCTTTCTTTATTCAGTCAATTTTTTAGCCTGACTACCACTATTATTACTAATTATCTTATCTGCACTATAGGTCATAGCCTCGTACAAAACTCAAGGAAATCCATCCCAACGTTGATCACTAATAAACACACGATTCTAATTAAAACAAATGGTTTTGGTAGATCAGTCATTCAATGATAAGTGACGTAGAATCTAGGATATACGTGCATTAGTTCAAAATGGTAGATAATTTAAGAACAGAGATGAAATTGTTAGAACAAATCCCAAAGTAGTAAGAGTAGTAACACGAACTGTAGTAGCAGAAAATGTTATGCAAAGACAATATGATTCGTAAAGAAAAAATGGATTTGAGGAATAAAAAATAGTATAAAATAATTTGGGAACTCAGAATTTGAAAGACAAAAATGAATGCATTTATATCACTGCAACAAAGTCATATCAATCGACATTTCTAACTATTAAGTTTCTATTCTACTTCTAGTTTATGAAAATATACGACTTGAAAATAGTTTTCATTCCAAAAATCTCATACTTTCCAAACAGTTAAAAAATATATTAACTGAAATCAATGATCAGCATATTACCGTAGACTTAGATTTTTTTATTCAAGAAATAGTAACACTATGGGTCTGAATTTTATTGTAGGCGATTTCATTTTAATATTTAACAATGATTGATTTGAATTCAGAAAATATGAATACTTATCTACTTTTTAGTGACAAAAAAATATTTTTAATAAAAGAATATTTACAATTTAATATTTAGCAAACAAATATTATAGTAATTTTAATAGTTGAGATCATCAGTCAATTGAAGCTAGATCATCATGTAAAACCAGTAAACGATGGACGGCTCATGATCTCAACTATTGAAATTACTATAGTATCCACAAAAACCTCTTCTGGTACTAAATATTAAGTAATTCAAGAAAAGGCATCGAACTTTTAAGCAAGACATCACTTTAGCTTCGTCTTTATTACTATTTTTGAAAGAAAAAAAGAATCTTTAAATTTTTTCTTGTTACCAGGGGAACAAACTTCCAATAAGTGGTTTATTAATTCCATTTAAAAAAATATGTCATCATTGGAATAATCATAATACAAGACGCAATAATCATCCAGACTGTATTAATACTTAATTAATTAAGTTTGATGAATATTTTCCAAAAAATATTTTTTCTAGTTATCAACTTTTGTCATCTGAACAAAACGATAGAAACATTATTTGGAATTTCAATACTGAACCAGAGTAAAAATTAAGCTTTTCCGTCATATATGAAATGTTCACTTCAATCAATTTAATATGTAAATGCTTGATGAAAAAGATAATTACGGGAAACTTTACACTATATATATACATCATTCACGAAAGAATAATGTCTACATTGCGACTATGATGACATCACATACCTAATACGGAAACATTTTCATATGAAAAGCCGTCAACTATATGAGGTTGAATTTCTTTACTCAAAGACTTAGACATAATATACTGGAGTGACAATAGTTTGTTTTGGAAAAACAAATTTAACATAAGTTACAGAACTTGTAGAAAAATATCAAATGTAGAAAACAAAATATAGAAATGGAAATTTATTTTTGAAATAATAATGTGTTATCTATAATTATTTAATCGGAATGAAAATAATGAAAGGTAACTTGTAGAATTTAAGAGAACGTATGATTTGATAATAATTTTGATAATGTAATTAGAAGATGAAGATTATCAGAACTATGCGATATATTAGCGCAATACATTTCGAACAATCTGATCACACATTACATACTTGTTAAGAACATTTATTTATAAAAAAATAAAAGGTCAGCTAGACTGGAAATAGGGTAAGAGGAGACAAGGATAACAATAATAAGAGTGAAACCTAATCACTCTGGATCACTCTGTGATCAGATTGTTCGAAATGTATTACGCTAATATATCACATAGTTTTGATAATCTTCATCTTCGTATTACATTATCGAAATTTATCAAAGAGACTAATTGCTTTGAATCTCTATAATAATTGTTCATTATATTAAGAATTCAATAAAATATAATGATAATAATCTTAAGAAAAGTAAAGTTATATTATTGGGATAAAAACTGAAAGTAAAAATTTCAGAATTAAAGAAATATGAAATAAGAATGTATTTAATAATAATTATTATTATCATTATATATATATATATATATATATATATATATATATATATATATAGTATAAAGAGCAAATTAATTATTTCAATCTAAACATTCTTTGAAATAAAATATTGCACTAACTAGTTAGGCAGTTTGCATATTTTTCAAGTAAACAAACTGTGAAGTGAAGACATTTCTTATGGGAAAATTCTCTACGAGGAGTAAAACACACATTGAATTAATGACCACTAATCAATGAAGACACCCTAACTTAGAGTCAAGGAGTACAAATAAATGTAAATTACTAGTTATTAGGAAATCAACAAAACAAGCAAACAAAATCGGTTAAACTGTTTTAGTTTTATAATAAGATTTGTTTATATTATAAGTAATTTTGAGAGATAATAGAAATTATGTCGAAACTGTTGCTTTAAGAGATTTTACAGTGTACCTACTTTTAGCACATATTATTTTACTTGAAAGCCTCTACTCGAGATATCGTCAACTTCGAAAATTTATTTCTTTAAAAGTTCACAGTTTCACATGGTACTTTTTATTTTGCATGGACACCAAAGAAAAATCTTGGTACAAAATACATGCCGTAATGCTTTAATCATCTCTTAACACCACAACGTTTCGATAGGGACATCAAAGGATGAGAAACTATCTTAAACTCTGTTTCACTATATTCTGTATTCTAGACTGTCATATGCAGAATTATCGTACCTTACGTAACTACAATATTTACTTTACATTGTTATCACCAACCTGTTAGTGTATATGAAAAGATGCATCGCTTTAACATAACTATTTTTAATCAACAACGGTTAAGATATTTGACAAGTGTCATGAGTAAATTCTAGAGGTTATAAATATAATGACAGATCATGAAAATAAATTAGAAATTTTTTCACTCTATACCCGATTTCAATTTTTATAAAAGGTCAGGCTGTTCACTTTACTCAGATAAAGTTAGATGTTAAAAGTGATTATTATACTGCACCGGTTGGTCATGGTCACGAAGGCAATTAAGGACTTTTGGGGGGAGTATGTGGTATATAGAATTCAATTGACAGATGTTCCTGATAACATAGCCCAAATTCAACTCCAGTAGAAAGGGCATAGTAGCTCTTTATTCTATTGTCACTGTTGACCATTTTGTAAAGATTTAGTTATTTCCCTTTTTTGATCCAAATCTTTAAGAGTGTTTTCTGAATATTCAAATAGTTTACACTTCGTTTATCCACAAAATTTAAATTATACACCAAAGGTCACTTTTAATAATTCGAATTAATTACGTTTTAGTTTAACAACTCTTATAATGCATAAAAGAAAAATAACCACGAGATTTGTAAGAAATTATAAAAAAATGCTTACCAAATATCTGTGGTATTTGTGGAGAATGTTCGTTTTTTATCAATTTTTTGCTGTTCATATTTTTGGCAGCGCTTACTGTAGCAGATAGTGCATTAATTAGAGCGCGACCACGATGATCTTGCTGAGATTCTGAACAGCAAGCGCCTTTCATTGAACCAATAGTGGAACTCAATTGTACATTTTCAGTATCGGCACCATTCGAAACTTCATTCCTATTCGCGAATTCACCCTGATCTATTAAAACCTGATTTTCTGGATTAAAACAGTTTGAATGCTTCGAAAATAGTGTTTTCAGCTCGGCTAGTAGACTACTAACCTGTTTTTTATTTTTATTCCAATAGTGCAGAAGAAACCACAGAATAAGAGTTGATAAGAACTCAGTTATAATTTAAGTTCATAAGTTAACCTATGAATTAATTTTTAACTGAAGCATATAAACTTTCGATGTGCCAAGGTATAACATCAGGATAAGTTCTAGAAACTAAAATTGAAACTTAGTTTGCTCAGTTTACCAGTGCTCTTCTAACCTCTTACCTTATATTGACGAAAACACTCGGCACGTCAAACCTTATTAGACCATCTTAAAAACAATGATTTTGGTATATACCTTATCTATTAAATGATGTATATTTGGGTTTTTTCTGTGTACAGTTAACTTCTCAGTAACGATTTTGTGTCCATACTCAGATTATATACCTCACGGGGTGGTATAACGCGTCATAAAGTGAAATAAATGGCAATGCCTAATAATCTAAAATCCAAAATTTGTTTAACTTAGAACACAGTCTTTTATCGCATTTTAAATGGACCCATACGGATGCTTTCTGAAATTTTAAATGAAAACAAGTGGTGGTTCACCTGTGTCATATGCAAAGTTGGCTAAGAGTAGAGGCCAATTAAAAATATGGATACCATTGTAATACAATGAATTAATGACTGATCTTATCGAGATCAAGAATAGTCGGATACTCATAAAACAGTTATTCTACTTACATACACTACATGCGACATCAATGTAAACATGATAAAAATCGATAGGGAATTACAAACAAACCTCAGTCATGTAATGAGCGTGGTATTTTGCCTTTTCTTCCGAAAGTTTCAAAACGTCCACCAACTCTTGTTGCTTTTTTTCTAAAGATGAACAGAGATTGGCTATTTGTTCCAAATAGCCAATACGCTCTTGTTCCAGGAGTTTAATCTTCTTTCCTTGCTCTAAGTAAAACGATTAAAATTTTAGCAGAGTAACTCACCTCTTAACTTTAGTGAAAAGGTGTAAATTTGTTTGTTTGGACAACTGTCTGATAATACTTCCACATTTGATAGGTAACCATCACAACTTGGATAGCTTTCTTTTCTTAACTTTTGATGACTACTCCAATCGATGGTCTGATTATCAGATAAATCAGACTTGGTATCTGCTCTTGTAATTACCGAGGCTATTTCGCAGCTATCATCAGATTCCATACCAGTAGACTGTTTGATTTCCGATTATACCCAATTCTAAATGTATCGTAAAAATATTGTTACGAAATTTCATATTTGATTAGTCGACAAAGTGATTCATGCATCTGAGAACTCGTACTTTATGAAATCAAATACAATTGTTATAAGCACATAGTATTAAACATAATTTATTTATATAGTTGACTCCTATGTGCAATGTTCCATATCTGAAAACTAAATCGCTTGAGCAGCCTCATAAAGGAAATTATATAGCATAAATCTTCACTTAATAATAAATTATTCTGTGTTAAGGAGCTACTAGTCCTAAATTTTTACTTTTCACTGATTTGAACTACAATGTTTTAAATAAATTGTGGCTTTTAATCCATTTGTGACTTATAGCAACAACTGACTTTATATTCTTAGTTGAAAATATTAGTTTTCAGACTGTAGATTTTTTATGGAATAATAAGTATTTAAAGTATTCGAGAATACTGTTGAAGCTCCTGTTTTAGATAAATAAAAAATACAGTTCCATCAAGTAATTATTTGCCACTCTCAAACACGTTCCGGCAAATTGTTTTCATAAACGTCCTAGTAACAAAATTTTGCTTTATTGGACTATTCAAATTGCATTTATATATACATGGCTCCAAATCAAACCATTTCTCTACAAAATTAGTACTAAACACTTAATGTCTAACAAATGGTAGTCAAAAATGTTTAAATACTACAGAATAGCTATGGTCAACAGTAAGAATGTACACAATTGGTTGTATAACATAATAAATGTATAAACATTGAATGTCAGTGTAAGAATAGTAACGATGTTACTTTCCGTAAAGATGTTGCACGCAAAACAATCAAAACAATACGTAAAACAACTCACCGAGAAATTCTACACTCAATATGTACGTTACGCTTTGTTTATAAAATGATTCCAACTAATATTTTCATTTCAAATATTACTGGATTTAGAAAGTATGAATCAACCATATGAAATCAATGACCAATAAAATTTTCTGTGACAAATTTCACATGATAGAAAACTTCAAAAAACTTAACTTTAAAAGAACATTAGTTAACCTGATCTTTTTGGGTCACTGTGTGCATATCAAGTGCCTTAAGAAAGGATATCACACTAAATAATCTCCCATTACGTTGTGAGAAAAGACCCCTTGTTTTAACTGATATTAGTATCGCATAAAACAAAAGTCTCTGAGGCACGAAGACTTTAAATATATAACGGAACTTTTTACTGGGATAATAGCACACATACTGTCCAAATATTGAATGGCAGATTATATAAGATCACAGTTGAATGAAATATATTCTGAAACTTGCGGTCAGACAAGCTCTGTCATAGGTATTTCGTGTAACAGACATTTTTTGCATTTAATTTACATATTTTCAACGAAAATATATTTAAAGCCCTTATAAAACTAAGCTTAAAAACACTAGAATGTGGGATTTTACAGATTTAAACGAGGCTAAGGTATAACACAGCTACAATGTATTACAACGAAGTAATTTGGTTTAAAGATCTAAAACTACATATTTTTAAACAGACAGCAGATTGCATCAACACCTGAACATCCTCAGGTGTTAAAGCTCTGATAGCATCCTCATAGTGCGTTAGTAGAAAAGTTTTGTAAGTTTGCATCCTATGTATGAAGTTTGGCGTTTTCGCATTCATACATCATGATCACTGACCTTAGGTTCCGTCTTGTTTTCGAACTTACAAAGTGGTATATGATTCGAGATTATATACAGTAATTACAGTCAAGCGCGCAATATGACTTGTTCACCGGGTAATCACCAACCATTTCGTTTTAGAAAGCACCAAGTCTTTAAATAAAGTGTTATGAACTGAAGACTGAACAAAAACAAATATTAATCAAAATCAACATGGGTTTGTGTAGATGGACCATCTAGGAATCATAGACTCCTCTTCACACTACATGCCAACAGTTGATGTCTATAAACGGTGTTTTTGTGTCAGTATCCCATATTTGTTCACATAAAAAAGCCTAAAAATAGAATTTAATAGAGCATGATATAAAGGAATTACGTATGTTAACTTTCAAGGGGTTGTGAAGTACAACATTTCAAAGTCCACCTCAGTCGTCCCAAACAACAACCTTAATTTTTTTAAAACTTGAGAAGTGTTGCTAGCTATATGCTATGGAAAAGTAATTCGAAAGTGACTTGAGAATCATTAAGACAAGATAATAAAAAATTTAGAGGTGTAGAACACTTAAGTTCTACATTTTGAACTCATTCCTTCCGAAAAAAAGCGTGCATAAGCCAAGAAGGTTTTTCAAACTGCAAGTATTCAATGAGTTTTAAAATCAATAAAGAAAAAGACAGAAATACTAAAACGCATAAATATGAGGATCTATTTATTTTTTATAACTAGAAAAGTGCATGGAAAATAATAATAAAGTAAACTGTGAAAAAACTGCATTTTCTAGATTCGAATTATTACTTTCAAGAAACATGTGTTCACAACCTCAAACAATTACTTTAGTGACTTGGTGAGAACGAAAACCAATTGCACTTTTTAACCAGTGAAATTTGAATTATACTTTCAGTTTTAATGACTATTGCTTTGGTAAAATAAATATCAGTGAACACTGAGTTCTGATCATTTTTTTCACGTGAGACACACATAAAGTTATCGACAGAACAGACACTGAAAGTACTTAAGTTAAAGACTGTGTCCCCATCTTTGTTCCAACTTATGCCCTTCTGGCCAGACAACATCGAAGCCTGGTTTTGCTACGCACAAGCCGACTTCTACGAGCACGGCGTGAACGACACACGTGCACAATTCGTCGTAGTACTCAAGGCACTACTGCGCGAATTCAACAGATACGTAACACCTAGTATGTTTACTAGTGATGTTTCTGACCCATACCAAACCCTTAAACGATCCAAACGCGGAGATCTAACCGATCGACGAGCTGGCTTCATCCGCCGACCGCGTCCTCAAAATCACAAAATCTTCTAACGTCGAGGTTTTTTCAGTCAAAGAAAAGCGTCAAACGACCCAGAATGACATTACAGAGCTATGTCATACACTTACACATTATCTCAAACTTCGTAACGACCGTAAACGGTCACGCACTCCGCGAAGAAGCACTTCAAGTAGATGATCTGTCTCTAAACCTCGAGAGGCAGATAACCCTTACTGATGCTGATATCATAACTAGTATGGAAGTTCCTCCAGAAATTGCAGAAAACCCTTCAATTTTCCCAACTCAAAATCGATCGACACGAAATATGTTTCAGGAAACTTCCAAGCCGGCACGCGTTAACGGCGACCGTAGCCGGTGAACATAGTCGTCAATTATACGTCGCAGATGTGATAACGAGAGTTCGCTACCTCGCCGATACTGGTGCAGAAGTTAGCGTTCTTCCAGCGAATTCCAACGACCGGCTTCACGAATCGGTTTTAAATCTACAGGCTGTAAACAGAAAGCCTATCTCTACAAATGGCAAAAGGTACGATAACCTCAACGTGAGTTTATGCAAACCCATTCACTGGATCTTTGTTGTTGTAGATGTTCCTACGACAGTCATTGATATGAACCTCATGCAGAACCACAATTTAATCATCGATACGCCCAAACGGAGGTGCGTAACTCTTTTTTTGGTTGCAGATTATCTCCAATCACAATTAAGCACACTATAGACCCATTCTATAAACCACCACTCGATAAGTATTCTGGCATTTACCAATCGCAACCGAAATTGCTGTGTGTAACCTGCAACGTTACACATCACATCACGACTACAGGACCACCTGTATTCTCTAAAACACGACGACTGACCCCCGAAAAGTTGAGGTTAGTGAAAAACGAATTTGATCATATGATAGACTTAGGAATCATACGACCGTCAAATAGCCCATGGGCATCTCCGTTGCACATGGTCCCTAAAAAGGACAGCAACGATTGGCGTCCAACTGGTGATTATCGGCAATTGAATGCAAAAACCATTCCCGATCGTTACCCGTTGCCTCACATTCACGATTTGACAGCTACCTTGAAAGGTACAACAGTCTTTTCCAATATCGACTTGCTAAAATCGAATAACCGAATCCCTATGGCTACTGACGATATTCCGAAAAGAGCTATCATAACTCCTTTCGGACTCTATGAAATATTGCGAATGCCTTTTGGTCTTAGAAACGCGGCACAAACCTTCCAAAGGTTTTTCGACATGCACTTACATATTATTTTTCGTTTCCAGGATGGCTGAAAAAGACGATAAAAGGAACGATAAAGTTTGCGAGAAGCGGAAATCTTCATTGTACTTTTTCTTTTTTATTATATTGTACTTCATGGTCCCTTGTAGTAAGGAAAGACTAACAGACGCTGCTAAACCTAGCAAGCTATCAATAGAGTGTTTACCAACGAAAAACTGGTTGGGTTTAAATATCTGGCTGGCCACGTATTAGTCATCACTACCCCAGAAGAGGGATGCTGACATTGGATGCTGACCACAGCTGAAGGCGCTCGGTCATGGATCCGCACTAGATCATGTATGAGAACGCCGTGCTCAACATCTACTGCAATCGCTAGCCAGATTACATCAGATGATCCTTGATATATTGATAGCCTATCAAATATATCTTGGAACTTCCTTGCTTCTGCCTTTTGATTTCACTTGGTGGTAACGATTCATATTGGAAGGTGTTACTGCTTAAAGCGTTGTCAAACTCCGAATACCTGTGGCATTTTCAAGGTTATTTGAAATCGTCTGTAAGCTAGTTGCAAATACGCGAAAAGCAAAGAAAATAACAGTTTCGACGTCAAAAAGTCAAATATGACGACTTTTGAGTGAGAACGGTCTAGCTTTTTCATAAAGGTAAAAGACTGGAAAACATATTCTCAACCAGAAGCATTGTTACGAAGCAGAAGATCATATCACTTTGGTGATATCTAAAATGGTTGAGTAACTAAGCGAAATAGTGCAACATTTTGACAGATCTGCAAATTGTCTTTTGTAGTCTCTTACACAAATTATTGAGTGTGAATAAAATAGAAATATTTAATTTCATTTACTGTGAAAACCAACGAAATGTATTCTGAGTATTGTGAAGCTGTATAAGATTATTCTTTAGTTAATAAGTGAGCTTATTTTTCATGCTCTACTCGTAGTCTTACACAATTATTGAGTCGACTTGAAAGATGTATCTGACTAAATTACATGAGAACACGTGGAATATTTATCATACATTGACTTACTTGTCTGATTCATTCTAACCTTGGGACCAGGCTGACAAACAAAAGTATACTTGTGTGAAACCATAGAAAAGGAATGGCGTAGGAGGTAAAAAACTACGCCGTTTTACTTGTTCATCCCACACGATCTGTTATTTATGCTGAATTTTTCGCTGTTAACCTTGAGCAGATTTTGTTAACCGCTCAGCGTTTACTGATAATCTCTATTCTCACAACTGTGATAATAACGATATAACAACTGGAAAAGAATTCAGTGTCGTTTCAAAGACCCAGCTAATGATTTTAAGATTTACTGAAGACGAAGTTGTTGTGATGTGTTGCGCTCATCCCCAATAGGGAGCCCCAACAACGACACCGAAAGGAATAACCGTTGCTCAGCTACCAGTATTACTTAGTGTGGCATCCAACCGGTTCAAATTCTGAAGGTGTCTGGTAGAATAACCTTCAATCCTTGTCTGAACAACCAGTAGGTCATCCAACAGAAATCTATCGGGTAATTCATTTTACTGTCGTTGCTTTCAAAGACCAGTAGCTTTACTAGTTTACGCCAACTCGACAACTTGAATGAAGTAGTCATTTAGACAAGGGAGACAATTTCATATCGAGTCACTATTTTTTGGTGAAACTTTTTAGTGTTTAGATATGTGTATGTCTATAAATGCACAGGTGTACGTAGTAACAGTATGTATAACTTCGGATTTGGAGCAAATATAGTATACGAAATACTATGAATTTCAGTTGCCCAGTTCAAAAGAATGGTTCTGTGATTTGCTTCAGTCCAAGGGGACAGAATTTTGATAATGGGTACCAACTTGTACATCGTAACCTAAATAATGTGTACACAAATAATGACAATGTGGTACTACTAAGAATAAATGTAAGCAAAAAAACGCAATATACAGGGATAATATTTTCTTCATTAGAAACGGTAGCAAAAAACTAGTGATACCTTATACAACCAGCTGTTAGACAAGAAAAGTTTTCTTAATGACCCAGGAACAATGTCTTGTAGTGGTATAACTATTCGGATTGCCTTAAAGGTGGGAAAACAAGCTGAAAGTTAATGATTATATTCGAAGTGTGAAACTATGTGACTACGTCACTTTTTAATACAGAAATTGTTCAGTCCTTAATGGATAGATACAGCTAGCTAAATCAAACAGGGGTAATCAGTAGTAATGTCACTCAAAATGGCCACCGACAAAATACGAATAGAATAGACGTAAAGGATTTATCGAAAACTCAGGGGAAGTCAAGAAGTTAGTCGCTATTGATAATTTTTGACATAATACATTAGTTCCTGACAAACCAAACGATGAACATAATAAATATAAATATAGACATCGCTAAAGATTAAGAAGGAAAAATACAATGATAAAAGCGTACACGAAAGAATCGAACATTTTCACAAAGAAAAATACCATACAGTAAAACCGAAATGTTTTGATATGTGATGTGAATATGAAGAATCGCTAAAAGGATGTACGATGAAAAGACTGATAAGATAAAATCATGTGTCGTTTACTATGCATAGAAGCCTCTGAAATAGACTGGTGAATATATGAATGCAATTTCACACATCATCAGTCTGCCTACAAAACAAAAGCTATTCGGATTACGTAAACAGATTATGCTGTAAAGAGAGCAGTAGTATGAGGTGAGATACTTTGATGATTAGAAGTATTCGAAATATTGTACTAACTAGGAATTCCCCAAATAGTGCAATTTGTAGGAAGTAGAACTAGATAAACACTAAAAAAACTTAATATATTTTGACTTCGTAATAAGTGGGTTGTCGAATATAAATGGATCATTAGTTCGCACAAATACCACAGTGAAGATGCCACAGGTATTCGGAGTTTGACAATGTCTTTACTAGTGACACCTTTAAATTCAAACTATGACAACGCAGTCAAACCAGAAATCAGAAATAAAAGAGTTTAAAGATATACCTGGAAGGCTATCAGTATGCTGACGAACGTTTGGTGGAGGCTGGCTCCACGTCCCCACTCCTGATTTGGTATGGATAAGTAACCTAGTGTCTTCAGCTGGATGGAACCAGTAAAACTAGCGTGGCCAGCGTCAAATTATTGATTTCGAGGATTTATTTACTGCTACAACAGATACAGTTACAAACTGAATTGGATACCTCAGTTACATCGAAAAGATGGCTTCATAAATAAATACTTGGAAAAGTACTGCAGTGCATACTGACAGAAATTTTTAGAATTTCAACGACTGAGGGGACCTTTTTCATTTCAGATTTTCTTCTCCCAGACAGAAGGATAAGAGCATGTACTAGCTATTTCTAGGGAGCAGAAAAAAGAGCCAGCATTAAACTCGATGGACTGGACATACATTATTGCCAGAGATACTAGACAATTACTCTATATCAACACTAAAGTAGTTTGAATTTGAGTGATTTGTAACGATACGTTAAAATTCTTTTGATTATCTGTACAATTGAGAGTTGAATTTCACCTGAGAAGGTCAGGTTGTTTAGCAGCGCAATCTTAGAAAGTCAGAAGATGAACACTGGAGTTGACACAACTAAGCCAACAACGTTCAGTGCAATTTATAAGCACATTTCGCCACCAACAGCTGTGGATAATTGCCTTTATTGTCACCTAATTCATCCCAAACTAAAAAACCTTGTCATTACTCGTGGTGGATTCATTGAAATATATAATGTTAAATCTAGGTAAGTTTAGTATTTTCCCAGTTATTTTACAAGTGCTTCTGGGGAAACGCGATTTAATTGGGTGTACGGAACATCTGTATACGAAAACGTTGCTGACATTGTCACTGTACGTTTCACAGGTGATCTTTTAGACTCACTTCTTCTGAGTTTCCCGGAAGCTAAGGTAAAATTCCATTATTCTTTTTTAAACTCACAGGTTGCTGTGATGAATTTCAATCCTGTAACATTTGAACTAAGGACCTTATCTCTTCACAACTACGAATTTGAAAACCTTAAGGTTTGATTGTTGTTATTCGGTATAATTACTAACATGCATTGTGCTTGTCTTGTGAATATTTTACATGACTCTGTTATGCTTCTTCAATTAATTTTTCAACTGGACTTTAAAAGTCATCCCAGCTGGGTACCCAGTAAAATTCAAATCACTACTAAAACAGCAGTAAACAGTCTTTGATTAAGTAAATGCTAACGTTCGTAACTGTTCATTATACTTTTGTGCCACTTGGCGTCCTCCCTCTCAATCTCAATCCTGGAGTCAGATTGATCACATCGCGATCAGCTACCGTTGGCGTGGTTGTGTACAAGGCTGCCGCTCCTTTTGGAGTACCTATCTAGAATCTGATCATGCTCTGGTCTGCGCCAATCTTACCTTACTTTTCAGCGGACAACGAAGTGGCCGCCAGCAAAGGATTGATGTTAGCAAGTTGGTTGCAACTTCTGTTGCTAGTAGGTATCAAATCGAGCTAGCTTATATGCTAGCTACCATTCCACCGAAAAGTATAAATGAACATTGGTTGTAATTGCATGACACCATGGAATTGGGGAGTAAAGTCACTTGTGGGTTCGCGAAATGTCCCACTTATAAGAGCTGGGTTTCTTCAGGCTCCTTACAACTCATCGAAGCCCGTCGGTCTACTCCGGGTAACCGTGAGTATGACCACAAACGAAGGATGTTACGTACTGAAATTGGGCAAATCTTGCGTAAGGACCGAGAAGCCTAGTGGTCGGAGCGTGCCAATGAGTTGGAAACAGCGACTGCATCTGATAACTGTCAGAAGCTCTTTCAACTCATCCGAAATTGTTTATTGAAGAGGTTTGTGCCTGAAAAGTTTATTAACATCCTAAAAGCCATATATACAAACACCTAAGTCAGAGTGAGGGCATACAACCACTTTTCTCTATTATTCCATTCGAGCAGTGGGGCTAGACAGGTTGCCCAATCTCACCATTCCTCTTCAACGTTGCCATCGATGACATTCTGGAAACAGCTCTGATGGATGTAAGTAATGGCGGTGCGGTTCTGTTACCTGGAGAAGGACTTCTCGACCTTGAGTATGGGGATGGTATTGTCTTTCTGTGCGATAATGCCCAAGCTATGCAATCCGCAATTAATCAGTTGGCAATCAGTGTCCGTAGGTATGGTATGTGCTTTTCACCTTCGAAGTGAAAAGTACCTCTACAAGACTGACAGGATTCTAATCCTGCACTCACCATGGGTAGTGATCAGGCAGAAGTAGTCGAAAAGTTCGTGTGTCTAGGTAGCTGCATAAGTGCTGGTGGTGGCGTGGGTGATGAAGCCAATTCACGTGTAATGAAAGCCAGAGCGGCTTATGCCAATCTGGGCCGTCTTTGGCGCCTTCGTGATGTCAGTCTGGCTGTAAAAGGTCGAATCTACAACGCGTCGGTGAGAGCAGTTCTGCTCCATGTGGCAACACCATGTTAGTAATGCAGAGGTTCGACATCGTGTGTTCGGGCACAGGGATGATAATGCGATTGGTGTCACCATCTTGAAACACCGACTTCGGTGGCTTGGACATGTTCTACGAATGTCGTCCCAGAGAATTCCACGTCTTCCATTATTTGCCGACTTTGGGACTGGTTGGAAAAAGCGGAGAGGTGGTCAGTGTGACATTGTGTCGTGGTATGAAAGATAGCTGTACAGGAATGGCTTTTGTTGGTCCTTCACGACTCCCTGGCTGGGGTCCGAGAGATGGTGCACACAGTGGCTAGAGACGCTTACCAGATATGACTCAGATAGAAGTCAGTGGCGATCCTGCTGTAACCTTCCTTTAGTTTTTCGTAAAGAGTGGTTGCTTCTTCCTTAACTGAAAGATTTATTCTGATTGCACCTTTTCGTTTCCCCATGATTATTAATATTACACTACCTTACACTAATCTGGTCGTTATTGTTTTTTTTTTCTCCTTCTCTTTAAATTCTCATTGTTTTGTGTGGCGCATATATATTTGGTGCCCGATTGTACCAAATTATTTAGTGTTCAAATAAATAAAACGTTCGTAACATGGTAAACGCCGAAAATTTGTTTGTTCCATGAAACATACACATAATAAAAGCTACATAGTACTCATAGGTTCCCAACATTGTTCTTAGGTATCTTTAGGTTTGATTTGAAATAGTAGTTTCCGTTATTATAAACCTGCATTTTTCATCTCGCCAGAAGCAGTTACTTCAGTGGTAGTAATTTATAACAGAAAGACTGTATATAAGGACATGATACAGGGAGGAAAAGTTATTAAGTCAAACGAAGGCGTTATTTTCAAAGGAATGTGTTTAAAAAAGTTAACTAAAAAAATAAGGAAAGCGGATAGCCCTGAAGAACACCACTTAATGTCGTTATGACCAAATGGTGCCTAGGAACCCACTCTGTATTACTGTGGTTGTAAAATATGACCTGTGAAAATCCAATACATAATTGGGCTACAGGTTTTTGATCGCATATCTTCTAAATATTGCTTGCCAATGGTTGGACCAAAAAGCGACCAATGCTGAGGTTAGGCATAGGATAATAAAGAAAGATGAGAAAGCAGTTAATGAAACCGTAAATCTTCATCGGCTGAGATAACTGCGACATGTAATATATATGCCCAACTGCTCTGTACTTCAATAGCCAATTTCGTTAGAGTTCAAGCTAGTTGAGAGAAAGCTAGAGGCTGTCAGACTAATATGTGACACCAATCCATGTACTCACAGACAGTTGGTCTAAACTGTTTTGATACGTTTAGACTACTACACTGAGATCTACGCGATAGACACAAAAAATGGTTGGAGACGATGGACGACATGACTAAAAGTCATTCACGGTGACAAAAATGTAGTCACTCCGTATATTCCTCTAAGTCTTGAACTTCAATATTATTTGGTACCGTTTATTACTTCAATTCGAACTGTATTCTTTAGTGCTCAGTTTTGATATCGTTTACATACTAGTATTTCAACTCTGCCCTGAGCCCCCAAATGCCCTGGTACGGCCGAGAGTGGGGAGAGTCTGCTCTCCCTCTCGAAATGCTCTCACATGGCCATGCGTATATAGCCTCTGCCAGGGAAGTCCTACTCACTGCCTTCTCGTGGCGGGGGTGTTGTTTACGGAAATGAGCGGACGAAAAGCGAATGTCCGGCGCTTTAACCGGATCCAAAATCAATGGTGCATATGGGTTCCAGTATCCTGAAGGAATAAATGGCGTATGAACCAATCGTTGGTCACCGGCTACCATGGGATTGCATCTCCTCACGATGCTCCACTGCCTTGTGGATCAGATCTTCAGGTCGAAGGCTCGGAGTGTGGCCCCCTAAGAAAACCACCTGCTTCGGTTTGGGCACCTGGACAGCATCACAGCCCTCACACATGTCAATTGAAATCTGTGTGGCGGATATGTATTTGTTGCCTCCTTGTACCAATATCTATGTGTTAAAATAAATAAATAAACTTTATCTCATCAGTATATCAACTTGGTTTGACGCATATTCCTGCCATCTATAACTGACTAACTGGATATAAATCTCAGTAATCGATGTACTTGAAAAACCTGCATTCATGATAATGAATAAAGCAATTTATTGAACGAAAGTTGAGATCAACTCTCAAGCTTTTGGGCAATTCACTTGATGACTTTATTATCTTTTAGAAGTCTCATGTTAGTAATATGAGGCATTTGGTGCATTCAACTACCAGAACCTTTTTGTCTTGATGTGGTATTTAATGTAACTAATAGTAATGTTTAGATTGCACTGTTTTTTATGTGACTTAATTTGGTATGTTTTGATTTACTCATCGTTTACACTACGTATGATGCATTAACTGAAATGGTTTCTTGTTTTTTTTTTTTAGGTGGAGTCGTGGTTATGGCTGCAAATTCCATTCTATATTTGAAACAGACGCTCCCATCGTGTGGTCTCCCACTAAATTGCTATGCACAAATATCGACCAATTTTCCTATGCGTAAGTCTTTCATCCATCTGTTACTATGTTGGTATTAAATGGCTAGTGTTAAAATGTAAATTGTTATTGGCAGTATCTGTTTCATATCTTATGTGCATATTATAAGCTTTATTTGACGTCAACTATCACTCCGGTTTGACCAATCGGCTAGACGAAGAAATATGAATTATCATTGCTCAAATAAAAGTGAACCTATTGTTAAAATGTCAAAAAAGTTCAGATACAAGAAGTGCATCGGTAGGTTACCTTGTGAATGGTATAAAGCCGCTCATTGTTTTGTTCAAACTAAACACACCAGTCACTAAACTTTCCATCGATCAACTGGGGCGCATATGTATTTGGTGCCCCTTGTACCAATATTTATGTGTTCAAATCAAATCAAATAAATAAACCTGGTAGTTTGATGCTTAAAAATAATATTTCATGTGTTCATTGGTTATCGATCCCTATGTATGAATTTACATTTCGACAACTCTAAAAAAGCTTTAAACCAGTATAGTAATTTATTCACTGGTATACGCTTGAAGTTCTTTAGTCAAAATACTTTGATTAGGTTGTTTCCAAAGCCGTCTGCACGTGCACTTGCTGGGAAACCGACTGATAAGGTAGTAAATCTTCATCGATTGAGGTGGTTGGAACATATGTTACGTATGTTCAACCACCGCCTACCGCGAAGGGCGATGTTTTCTGGTGTAGGAGTGGGCTGAAAGTTATTAGTGGCCAAACCAAAACATGGCATCAGTCCATGAGGTCACTGACAATCGGACTTAAGCACGTTGGTAAGTACAAACTACACGGTTGTTATCCACGTGATTATCGTAACCAACGGTTAAAGACTGTGAATAAAATGGCTCAAAATCATTTTTTTGTTTTTGTTTCACTAATCTACATTTTCTCGAATCATATCTTCTCTGCATTATCTTTCCTATTACCACCGATACATTTACTACCCTTACTATTCTGTGATTTGTCCTAACAATTTCATCTCTCCGTTCTAATGGAGTATGGCAACTTGAACCGATATACATATGTACCAGGTTCTACGTCG